TCAAAAAGGCGGGAAAGATGAGATTATCCTGCGACCGTTGAGCTTCTGCGGCGGCCTGAAATTGTCCACGAGAGGCTTGGTGCCCGTGTAATCTTTGAGGCTGCGGAATTTCTGAAGCTGTTGCAGAGAAAAAAAGAGAGAGAGAGTCACTACCGATCTGGAAATACATGCGACAGATACAGGTGTGTTAGGATAACATCTGAAAACAGTCACGTTCAGTTACTTAAGCAGCGAACAGAAGAGTGCATTTTGTTCAGGCATAGGGGGAAGATGGGCTGTGACCTGTGTGCTTGATATGGTTTGTTTCTCTATTCATAACGATATAGTAGTTAACTACTGGCGAAACAATTGAACCTGTATTCACTCTGCAACCTGCTGGAGAACTTCGCACACTGTTAAGGGTAGGAAGTTGATGATGGCATCCCACTGCTACCACCAGTTGTAAAGGGCTCGAAGGTTGATGGTAGGTATACAGTGAGTTTTATTTCGGGTAGCTGGCTCCCCGCTGTCGTCTGCATAGGTGATCTTCGCCAGTGATTTGCTGAATCATGGGCTGAATCTTTGTACACAGCTGAATGTCTGTACAGTTACATCTTTCAATTATCACGTAAATGAGCCTTCGTTCTTTCTCTCTTAACGCGTCCCCTCACTGGCTAAGATCGGCTATGCGGACGACGGTGAAGAGCCAGCTACCCTAAAGAAAATCCGCCGTAACTACCATCGACTTTCGAGCCCTTTACAACACTTTCTCATTGAATGTCAGTGGCATGCAAGCTGCAGTATGCACCCGGTTACGACTGAGAATGATGACCACCAAACCGAAACGTGGGAGGTGACGCTTGCCCTCGAGGGCCTGGAGGACCAGCGGCCACTCGTCGCCAGGGCCAAGAGGCCAGGCGAGGCCAGAGGGTTGCTGTACTAGGGAGCCCTCCCACTTCAGGATGATACCGGGCATTTCTGGGAACACTGTTTCGTGTCATTTCTCCCTCCCTCTTTCTTTGTCGACCGATAGAGGTGGAGGGGGCGTGTGTGCTGCGTCGACACCTGCGCACCCTTGCCCTAATTGGGAAACCTGCTCACGCTCGTGCGTCGAAAACGTACCACCGTCTCGGAGATGAACGCCGGTCTGTTGAAGACTGTCCAGCGCACGGATTCGGTGCACGGAGGCGCGGTGAGCGAGCCGCGGTACGTGAAGTACTCGGCCCGGCCCACGGACGGCATCAGGCTGTCCAGCGTGAGCCGAGTCGCGCTCTCGTCTCCGGACGCGCCGTGACGGCCGACGCCCAGGCGACGAGCCATCCAAGGAAGAAGACGACGTCGACGGCGACGTCTCCTCGGTGCGCTGGAGTTCACCGCGGCCACGACGGTGCGCATTGCCTTCACCGAGTCGAAGTCCACGAACGTAGCCTACGCCGAAGAAGGACGTGTCAGCGATGGACGAGTGAAAGGTTAAACGAAAGTGACGCTCTGTAATAGTGGAGGTTTCAGCAACAATAACTTCCAGAAACCATGACATGATCATGAAGTGTGTCATAGGGGAGGGCTGCAGAAATTTAGACAACTGAAGTTCTTCAACGTGCAAGTAAGTGTGAGGCATAATTTAGCCTCGACTTAGACAACGCTTTAAAGGATTGGAACAAGATGACAGGACGAGGGTCTTCAAGTAAGTGCCAATTAGGCTAGCACACAACTTTGTTAAACATAAATGTAAACAAACGGGCCTGTGACGTTTCACCTGCGCCGCAATGTGGCCGCCGCGGCCGGTATGCGAAAGCGCGATTTTCGAGTGAGCAATCGAGCCCCAAGACCGCTGTATTGGATGCTGCCGTTTCTTATACCTCGAATGACTCGCTCTGGTCATTCAGTGACTGTACGCAGTTCTTTCTGCTCTTTCTAGCTTAACAATGTAGCTAAAGTGGTTATTTGGGCGTGTTGGTATGACATAGCGAAAAAACAAACAGCGCGAAAAACGAGAGAGCAGGCGAAGAAGTACACATGCGGAGCGCTGAATTGCAACAAAAACGCTATTCTTCAAACGACGCATATGTATACCTATGCATTGGAGCTTACCCGTGAAATAATGCAATCATTGGAGGTTGCTAGACTGAAGGACGCATTCGTGAGTAAACTTTCGCTTGCCCTCTCAGAAAAGGAAGTTGTCTTTTTATCTGGTTGACTTCACGAGCTATGAGAATAATTTTATTGCTTTTTTTCGACTATCACTTTTGTTTCTTCCTGTTTCGTTCCATTGCATAGGTACATATGCGTGGTTTGAAGAATAAAGTTTTTGCTGTGAGTCAGCACTCTGCATCTGTACTTCTTCGTCTGTTCTCTCGTTTTTCGAGCTGTTTTTTTTAATATTAACTATCTAGTTCACTGTAGCATAACAGAGACCCGGAAATGAAAAACCGCAATACAGGGCTTGCCTTCACGGCACACCACGTGGTGTCCAACCGCGGTGTATGCAGGCTAAATGATGAACAGAAACGTGTCTGTAGCCAAACGATCATTGGAATAACATGCTATCAGGATAGCTAACAGGGGAACGTGTGACCAGTAGAATGATGCTAAACAGCATTTCAGATACAGCATCCTATTGTTCATGCACTATATAACACTTGAACGAAAGGCGAACAAAAGGCGAGTCATTTTTACTTCTTTAACACGAGGGTCAGCTTGCTGTGGCCAATTTCACAATGGTACGCATCACAATTACTGAGAAACTGAGGCGCATTAGGCAAACTCACATACCCTGTACAGCGTTGCAATAATGGCAACTCCGTCCTTTTCATTTGCTGCAACTTCGGCGCTGTATTTCTTGTTAGTATAAACCATTTGCATCTGAAAAATAAAAGCAAGAACAGCTACACAGCATTCCCATACAAGTGACCGCTTATTAAAAAAAAGAGACGCAGCGACTTGTGACACCACTGCGTTAGTGCATCATGTGTCATCATGCGACTATATAGTGAACCTCCATGTAATAATTGCTACGCTGTTGACATAGGGTTGTGAAGGTATTACAAATAATTCGAAGGTCGCTGATTCGGTCCCTGCCCACGTCAGGTTATCTTTCTGGCCACTTTCTTCACAATTCATTTGCAATTACTTCTAATCACATCCGCTATACCTTCCTTGGCATAACTGTCGGTCAGTTCTCATCAAAACTTCCATGGTGTAAGCTCACACCATCGATATAGCTTTCCCAGTGCGTCATAGTGCACCTCCGTGGGGTAGGCGACACCATCGATATGGTGTTCGCAGTGCGCCATAGTGTACCTCCATGGGGTAGGTTACACCATCGATATGGTGTTCGCAGTGCGCCATAGTGTACCTCCATGGAGTAGGCGACACCATCGATATGGTGTTCGCAGTGCGCCATAGTGTACCTCCATGGAGTAGGCGACAACATCGATATGGTGTTCGCAGTGCGCCATAGTGTACCTCCATGGAGTAGGCGACAACATCGATACGGTGTTCGCCGTGCGCCATAGTGTACCTCCATGGAGTAGGCGACAACATCGATATGGTGTTCGCAGTGCGCCATAGTGTACCTCCATGGAGTAGGCGACAACATCGATACGGTGTTCGCCGTGCGCCATAGTGTACCTCCATGGAGTAGGCGACAACATCGATATGGTGTTCGCAGTGCGCCATAGTGTACCTCCATGGAGTAGGCGACAACATCGATATGGTGTTCGCCGTGCGCCATAGTGTACCTCCATGGGGTAGGCGACACCGTCGATACGGTGTTCGGAGCCCTGGCCTGAGCCGGATCCCCAGTGGAAGAGCGCGTGCTGGAACACGAACGTGCCTGGCAGCCGACCGCCCCGCACCGTCCTGCTCGCTGTGTCCAGCGGCGATGGCCTGAGGGTCACTGTAATGCACAATCGCGCATGCTACAGTTTTACGTCTAGTAAAAGAATAATCAGGCGCCCTTGGTCTATCAGGAAAATGGCGACAAGTGAAGGTTCGCATGTGCATGCCTGACGAAGTACCTTTCTTTTATGCTGGGGTGCACCACGGCTCCATCACGTATTTCCGTCAGGGATATGACGTTTTAAAATATTCGCTAACATGATTGCAAAGAAAATAAAAAATCACATCATTTCCACGAGGTGAGTGATGACGAGTGAGATGAAGCTTTCTGCAGGGAGGCTAAACGGATGGATGGTTGCACGGACCCACAGAGGGACGTACGAATGAACGGACAGATGGATGTTTCGCCCCCACTCATCATCAATCACTCCGTGGATATGCTCTGCCACTGTTTTCATGATACATGCAATGCAATTTTACGACTTTGAAAACTGGCTACTAAGACGACACGGGACGCATTACTTTTTTGCAGACTAGTTGGTTCATACTTGAAAAATTGAATTGCTGCACAAACTTGAAGAAAAACAAGGAAGACAGGAAAGAGCACAGACTACCAACTGTTGATTGTTGTTTTTTGAAGCCAATATATACGCATGCTACGCTGCGCTTCCACGATGCGCACAAAACCAAAGACGCCGCAAACAAAGCTGACCCAAAACAAATCAAATCAAAGTTGACTGCCACCACAATGACAAAAGTGAAAAAAGGCAAAATACAAAAGTGATACCCACCAATATCTAAACTGCGTAATCCCAAGGTGTGCGCTCATCTTTCTTTAACTTTTATTGTTTATTGCACCAAGCATCACCAAAGGCATGAAAAAATGAAAACGTACTCTAGAGATTTTTGTTTAAAAACCCTAAAAATAGCACCACGGAACGTGTCGTTCCGTGTCGCCACGGAACGACACGGGACGTATGACCCACGGCGTAAGGAGCTTCGCCTCTAAAACGAAAAGGAAAAGTTCCGCAGTGAACCATCGAACCAGCGACCTCGCGCTCTTCAGCGCGCGACGTTAACCACTACACCACAAAGCGACCTCTCTCCAACATGTTAACGGCAAGTCATTTATATACACCATGCACCGCTGGCAATCATTTCAGCTCGGAAACTTCAGCGCGTTTTAGTATAATCAGTAGCGAGATGGCACGACGGGCGCGCGTTTTGCGGGCGCGCTATAAAGGTCGTTATTCCGCGCCACCCTGCCCGTCGCTGTGCGCGCGCCTCCTTGTGGCGTGGTCCAAACGCGTACAGATGTTCTCTAGCATGGTGGCTCCCTCGCGCGCGCGCTTATCTCAGGATTCGGGTACTTTCTACCTCTTTTGCTTCCACCGCAAGCTTGCTTTGAGGTTAGAATAGTTGAAGAGAGCACGAACGTCAAATTTCTTGCTACCACGCTCACGGAAGGAGCGTGCTGCTAACACACTGCATGAAGTAAGAATTGCGACAACTGTTTGTCCGTGTTTCTTCTGTGTTTGCACATTTCGGACGCGCTTTCTGCTTGTGGTGTGCGCTGTAAGTTTCGAGCCACTTGCCTTTCGTTGCGTGATATTATTGCTGTTTGTTACTGCCGCATTCATTCCTTCGACCTTGTTGCGAAACAATGTAGAGTGAATGCTCAACTACCACTGCGAGGAGACGTTTCACTTTCGTGAAATACCAATTCCTGAAAAAAAGGGGGGATCAACCACTTTTTTTTTCTTTCGATCACATCTACAAAGTCACTGACACTTTACAAGCTTCGGTGAGCAATCGAAATCAATAAAATATAGAAATTTTCATCTTCCTGGAGTGTGACATAAAGAGGCGACGTGAGTACTCACGAGAAAGGCCGTCGTTGGTCACCGTGAAGTTTTCGAAGGGCACGTCGTGGCCCTCGAAGTGGAGCGCCTTCAGGGAGATGTCGTGCAACACGCCGAACGTCTCGATGTTCACGGGCGACTGCTGCTTGCCGCCGCACGAGTTGTTGGCGATGCAGCGGTACTGGGACCACGACCACGTCGCTGCAAGATGGAGCATGCACGGGATGATGGAAGAATGGAAGACAGCAAGTGGATGACTGGATGGAGACTGAGTGACGCCCCGCCGCAGTGGTCTAGTGGCTAAGGTACTCGGCTGCTGACCCACAGGGCGCGGGTTCGAATCCCGGCTGCGGCGGCTGCATTTCTGATGGAGGCGGAAATGTTGTAGGCCCGTGTGCTCATATTTGGGTGCACGTTAAACCCCAGGTGGTCGAAATTTCCGGAGCCCTCCACTACAGCGTCTCTTATAATCATATGGTGGTTTTGGGACGTTAAACCCCACATATCAATCAATCGAGACTGAGTGACGACGTGCTGTAATAACTTGGATGGCTAACTTCAATAAACCAATCAATCAATCAACCAATCGATCGTTTGGCTTTATTTTCATTGAAAAGAAGGAGTGCGGTACAGACAGCTCAAGCAGCTCGACAAGGTCTCGACCCCGTCACAAGTTGGCCATACAGCATCATGACGGCTAGTGATGCATGACATAAGTCTGCATAAGTAAACACCATCCAATACTTTTTCATCCCTTGCCATCGTTTAGTCGACGCTATAACAACATGGCTTTGACATTTGTAAAATAACGCAATCATATTGACGCGTGTCTACATGTGGACGATAACGATGATGGGGCATTTAGTGGGCACGAGGTAGTGGGCCTCTAGCTTCTCTCGAGGCTGAAGAAGACGATCTTGTGACTGAGCCTTTCAGGACACGCTGCCTTTCGTCGTCCCAAGGTGTATCTGTGTTTTATTCGCGTTGTACCGCGACACTGGTGGAGGTGCGGGGCCGCAACCCTGTCTGATGCTCCACACGCCCGCTGGGAGCCGCTCATCGAGTCCAAACGCACTGTCACCTGTAGAAACACCGGTGCATCGCTCCAGTCGACGGTTGCGAGGCCTCGCGCCAGAGCTGACTCACTCGCCGGAACCTGCTAGGCACCGCACAGCTCAACCAATGGCCAACGAAAGCTCGCAACAGGTGCCCCAAGGCAGCTTTCCGACGCACCCATCTCAGGTGACCCTCTTTCAACCCCTCGTTCCCGATCGCTTTAGTGGCGGTGCCCATGAAGACGTTCACGACTGGCTTGACCACTATGAGCGTGTTGCCAAGGTAAATCATTGGTCGGAACAGGAAAAGCTTTGGCGCGCCTATTTCTACCTTGACGACGGTGCTCGTACTTGGTATGAGAATAGAGAAGGCAATCTGTCAGCTTGGCCCGACTTTCGAGAGAAGTTCGTCGATACCTTCGCCAATATCGATAGAAGGGACCGCGCGCAGCAGTTATTGGAGCTACGGGTTCAAAAACCCAACGAAACCGTTGCAATGTTTGCCGAGGACATGACTCGTCTCTTTCAACGAGCTAACCCGCACATGACGGAAGATAAAAAGTTGAGTTACCTCATGCGCGGTGTCAAGGAGCAGCTTTTTGCCGGGCTACTGCGCAACCCTCCGACTACCGTGGTTGACTTCATTAAGGAGGCTACGGCTATCGAGCGGGCCCTTCATCAACGCTGCAGGCAATATGACCGCATGTCCTGCAATGTCCCAATCAATGCTACCGCCATGACGTCTGAGAGCCAGAGCTGCTTGCGAGACTTGATTAGGGAGATAGTTCGCGAGGAACTGCAGAAGTTGCGGAATCCTGTTGCTGAAAATCCCATCGCATCGATCGCTGAAGTCGTACGCGATGAAATCCACCAAGCGTTGTCTACGGCTAGTCCTGATGCTCAGCAGCGTCCTATGAGCTACGCTGCCGCTCTCCGACGTCCACCACCCGCTATGCCGACGCTGTACCACCAGGTGCCGATGGCCCCTTCGTATCCGCCGCAAGAGCAGACACTGCATCAAACACCTACGCTACAGCCACACAACCAGCCATCCACAGCCACCCCATGGGCATCGACGCGTCCACCGATCCGGAAAACAGATGCATGGCGCACCGTGGACAGGCGTCCACTATGCTTTCACTGCGGAGGTGCAGGACATATTGCCCGTCATTGCTGGCATCGAGGTGATCCATTCCGTCCCCAACGACCTTGGTTTGACAGTCGACGTGCCAACGACGAATACACTCCGCGCCGTGACGACATCTCTTTCTATGGAGCCCGTTATCACTTTGAGGACGGCTCTACCACTGCAGAGAAGGCAATGCCTGCTCAGCCTCCTGGTCCGAGACGTCAGTCCCGCTCTCCGTCCCCCGCGCGTTCGCCTTTGTCGAACCACCGCACCTATGCGAACCTTAATACAAGAAGGTCACCTAGCCCGCGCCGGGGAAACTGAGAGCGGCGACCTCCGGGGGCAAGGTTGCAGGCCATAAAGATAACGACAATAAGCCCCCACAGCACGACGCCATACAGCCGATAAGCCGTGAATGCGATGAAATTGTGACTGCTGACCTTAGTGTTCTTCTCGACGGCCAGAAAGTGACAGCTTTAGTCGACACTGGTGCCGATTTCTCCATTATCAGTCAGGACCTCGCCGACAGCCTCAGAAAAGTGAAGACGCTGTGGACGGGCCCTCATATAAGAACAGCAGGAGGCCAGTTATTGATGCCCTCGGGAAGATGTACCGCAAGAATTGACATCGGAGGTTCTCCTTTCACGGCGTCGTTCGTCGTTATCGCCGCATGCTGCAGAGACGTAATTCTCGGCATGGAATTTTTAAGGGAATATGGTGCCGTCATCAACATACCAGAGAGCTTGATTACGTTTTGCAACAGTTCGGGCTTACCCGATTCCCCAGAGGCGCGACCAAACCAACTGCGTCTTACTGATGACGATGTGGTTCTCCCTCCGAGGTCATGCACGCTTGTTTCTGTGGCCGCCGCTGCTCAGTTTGACGCCGAAGGAGTTGCGGACCGAATAAGCTCGCTGCTCTTCACCCACGGTATTTCTGTCGCACGAGGTATCGTCAGAGTTGCTGCTGGACGCACGGACTTGCTGCTGACCAATTTTAGTGCTGAGCGCCGGCATCTTCCTAAAGGCACGGCTGTCGCTTACTTCGACGATGTCATAGATGCCGAAGGCTGCTTGGCGGTAGTCGACGAGTCACTAAATCTTGATTCAGCGCCTGTTCTGGACGTTAGCATTACTTTGCCAAAAGACGACCGACGCCGACTCCTTGAGTTACTGGGCAAATTTCAAGACTGCTTTTCGACAACATCAAGAGTTGGCCGCACGCCTCTAACCAGGCATCGAATAATTACCGAGGAAACGGCGAGACCTATTCACCAGAACCCTTATCGCGTGGCTCCAAAAGAACGTGAAGCGATACAACAGCAGGTAGACAGAATGCTTGAAGATGACGTCATTCAGCCTTCACAGAGCCCCTGGGCGTCGCCTGTAGTCCTCGTTAAGAAAAAGGACGGCAGCCTGCGCTTCTGTGTGGATTACCGGAAGCTAAATCAGGTGACCAAGAAAGACGTATATCCACTACCGCGTATAGACGACTCTCTCGACAGACTTCGACATGCTCGATACTTCTCTTCAATGGACTTGCGGAGTGGATATTGGCAAATCGAGGTGGACCCGAGAGACCGCGAGAAGACCGCTTTTGTGACACCAGATGGGTTATATGAATTTAAGGTCTTGCCATTCGGTTTGTGCTCAGCCCCTGCTACCTTTCAAAGACTCATGGATACCGTGCTTTCTGGGTTGAAGTGGAAAACATGCTTAGTATATCTGGACGACGTCATAGTGTTTTCCGCGACGTTTGACGAGCACCTTGAAAGACTTGAGGTAGTCTTACGAGCCATACAGTCCGCGGGCCTGACGTTGAAGTCTGAGAAGTGCCACTTTTGCTACGAAGAGCTGCGATTTCTTGGTCATGTCGTCAGTCATGCTGGTATTCGTCCCGATCCTGAAAAAATCGCAGCCGTAGAACAGTTCCCTATGCCGACCGATAAAAGGCTGTCAGACGCTTTCTCGGCCTCTGCGCGTATTATCGACGATTTATCGCGGACTTCGCACGCATAGCATCACCACTAACTCGCCTAACAAGAGAAGACGTCACCTTTGAGTGGAATAACGAAGAGGAAGCTGCTTTTAACGATCTTCGCCAGCGACTACAAACACCCCCAGTCCTTGCCCACTTCGACGAGAGAGCCCCTACGGTGCTTCACACCGATGCTAGCAATGTCGGTCTGGGAGCGGTGCTTGTGCAGCAGCAAGATGGCGCAGAAAGGGTAATCGCTTACGCAAGCAGAACGTTAACACGTGCTGAGGCTAATTACTCCACGACTGAGAAGGAGTGTCTCGCCGTGGTATGGGCGGTTACAAAATTTCGTCCGTATTTATATGGCCGCCCCTTCAAAGTAATTAGCGACCACCACTCACTGTGTTGGTTAACTAATCTTAAAGACCCTACCGGCCGATTAGCGCGTTGGAGTCTCAGGCTGCAGGAATTCGACATGACAGTCGTACATAAGTCAGGGAAGCGACATATGGACGCCGACTGTTTGTCCCGTTCACCCATTGAGTCGGCAACCCTACCCGAGGAGGAGGAAACATCATTCCTCGGTGTCCTCGACACGACCACCATTGCGCAGCAACAACGAGACGACGCTGAGTTGCTTGGCTTAATTACCTACTTGGATGGCAGATCTCGGAAGGCGCCAAGAGTTTTCGCAAGAGCGTTGTCATCATTTTGTTTACGTGGCGGAGTACTCTATAAAAGAAATTTTTCGTCGACGGGATCTGCCTATCTGCTCGTCATCCCAGCAGCCCTTCGCACCGAAGTACTGAAAGCATGCCACAACGAGGTTACCTCTGGCCACTTGGGTTACACAAGAACGTTGGCCAGGGTACAGCAAAGGTATTACTGGCCAAGACTAACCACAGCCGTGAAGCACCACGTCCGTACCTGTCTCGACTGCCAGCGACGCAAGTCACCGCCAACTAAACCAGCTGGCCTGCTGCAACCCGTACAGGTCCCAATGACTCCATTCCACCAGATCGGCATGGACATTTTGGGCC